AACTGCTGTGCCTTGAAGGAAGGAAAAGAGACCCTGATAATAGAAGTTCCTCTTCTGGGTGCAGACTGCAGTCCCAACAGGAAAGCCATGAAGACACTGCCTGGGCCTTTGTTCCTGTTCTTTGTGGCTGAACTGTGAGTTGAAAGCTTTTGGGAGACAAGGTGTTTGGTTAATATTCATCACAAGTCTGAACAGGAGGTTGGCCTCTTTCTGACTGCCCGAGATGACTGCAGGAAAAAACATAAACTCTGGGAAACCATGTCCAGATGCTCTTGTCCAACTTTTGCTTTTACCCAGGTGTAAGCAGAGGAGAGAAGGCAGAGCAGCGTGCTTCCTTCCTGAGTGTCCAGGAGGGAGACAACGCTGTCATCCACTGCACTTACACAGACAGTGCCTCCACCTACTTCTTTTGGTATAAGCATGAGCCTGGAGCAGATCTGCAGTTGCTCCTGTGAATTCTTTCAAGTGTGGAGAAGAAGCAAAACCAGAGACTCATTGTCCTCCTGAATAAGAAGAACAAACATCTCTCCCTGAACATCATAGCTGCCCATCCCAGGGACTCAACCAGACATGCCCAGAGGGTTGAAGACACACTATTTTTTTTCATCTTTGAGAATATGATTTTCCTGTATTTTCTTTTAAATATATGGACATTCTAAAACATGCTGAAAACCAGTTGCAAAATGACCCAATAAGGATTAGGGAAGTTTGAATAAACTCTTATTGGGTGTTGGTGATTTCTTTGATGCTCAGGCTCTAGGGTTGACTTTAGGGTATAATTTATCTTTTTCCCTTACAAGGACACTTTGGTGTCATTTTCAAAGAATTCTCTTCACAATGGAAAGGCTCTTATCTTTTGATAAGAGCATTTACTATTTCTATTTATAAAATTATTAGTTCCATGGTATAAGACAAAAAAGCAAAGAAAAAGTAGAAAATTAAAATGTCTCTTGATCTTGTCATACAGATAAAATATGGCTGACACCTTGTATTCTGTCCTCATTAAAAGATTATTTAAAATTATAGCCTGCAAGATGCAAAGGTTCTATCTGATCTTTTCAGGATCCCTTTAGGGACCTGATTACACATAATCCCAAAGATTTGATAGCTTAGTGACCCAGAGACTTGATGTCAGGACAAGTTTTTTTTCCTCTCACTACCTCCTACCAGTTCATTACATTGAAGTCCTAACCTCTAAGTGACTGTGTTTAGAAATAAGACATTCAGGGAGATAAATTAAGATTAAATGAGATCATAAGGGTGGGGCCCTCATCCATGAGCAAAGGTGTCTTGTAAGAAGAAAATGAGAGATCAGAGTTTCATCTCTCTCTCTTTCTCTCTCTCTCACTATAAATATATATATATATATATATACCATGTGAGCTCAGAGGAAACAGGAAGAAGGTGGCCATCCATAAGTCAAGGGAGAGCCATCACCAGAAACAAAGTTTTCAGGCACATTGATTGTGGACTTCTAGCTTCCAGGAGCCTATTGATTGAGCACCCAGTCCCCCTGAGCAGAACAATGCACTCAGCACCAAATGATCAAGCTCTAGTGTCTGATCAGGTCTTTCAGCACAGGACCAAATAGAAAGGAGAAGGGGCCCTTCAGGACAGGATTCAGGCTCTCATGTTGAGAGGGAGGGCTTCATTCTGGATTCAGGTCACACATTAGAAACTTGGTACAATTTGCATAGGAATAAATTAAAACTCATGAACTTGGAGATATCTTTTCTTTGTCAGAGATATGGCTCCTCTAGACTATAGAGCCACTGTGTCTAAAAGTAATGCTGATTAATGGGAGAAGGGGTTGGAAGGTATATTCTCCTTTCATAAAAAAGGACCTGTCTTTGATTTCCACTTTGGTCTTTTCCAAAAATTTTTCATGGCTTTTATATTGCTGAGTTGTACTATTTTCTGAGGAGAAGATTTCCATATGGTTCCACAATTTACTCCCTCTGTAATAGACTTCCTTCCCTTTATTCTAGGCTTGGCTTCCTAAAGTTCCATACAGAGGACTAGTCTATGATAAAAATTGACTAGCCTGGTTCATCCTGTATATTTCATGATTTTATGGGATTCTGGGATGGCTAATCTATCTTTTTATTACATATTTGAATGTCTCATAGGGCAGTATCTCTACTCTGCTTTATGCTTCCACCTCAGCCATTCTTATTTTCATGACTGGATTTGTCTCACTCCATGTGGTGTTTTCTAATTCTTTGGAGAGTTAAAGAATTGTTTCAGATGGATCTTATCCTTCCTGCATTGTGATGCAATAAAAAAT